TAACCCTAACCCTAACCCTAACCCTAACCCTAACCCTAACCCTAACCCTAACCCTAACCCTAACCCTAACCCTAACCCTAACCCTTCTTCCAATCGTTCTCCCAACCATGGGTATCCCGGCAATGTTTCTGCATCCCAAACAAACTACAACAAACATATCCACACGGCTGGCACCGTAATCCATCATGCCTCGGCGGTGTGATATATGGAACCGGCTCGTCTGTGGGTTGTGGGTAACGCAATGACTTTAACTCGGCTTGGCTTTTAATGATATCGGGTAAACTTGAAACGGCATGTATGATTTTGGCCCGGTCGGTAATGGAAATGATCGAATGGCGGGTCTTTAAATGGGTTGCGACCTCGTTACTAACGACGGCAAACTTGCACGTTGTACATATGACGACTGGATACTCTGGCTTGTAAACAAATGGCTTGATGGCTTGCTCCATGGTTAATAAACGTGGGGTTGTTTTACTGCTTGGTCTGGTTGCTAATAATAATATTCTGTCTTTTTATTTCTGAACTATATGGGGGTTCTATACTACTCTAAATACTTTTTTTTGTCCTATCCTACCTTACCTTGTTTTCCTCCTTCTCCTTTTTTTCCTTTCTTTTTTTTTTCCTTTTTTTTTTTTTTTTTTTTTTTTTTCCCTACTTGCTTTTCCTTCTCGCATTTACTCCTCCCATCTCCTGGGTCACATCGGTTGCGTTGGTCGTCCCTACGATTCGATAATGCGCGGGCGTAACCCTGGGGTTAACCTGGCCCGTGCATACCTTCAACCAACCACATCATAACCCATACTAAACTTCAAACCTTGAATTTCTTCCTCTCTATTGGGTTTACGGGGATATAAACCTGAAAAAAATAATCTATACGAATGGCGCTTTTCGTGCATGTCGGTTTTACGGGTTTTATGGAACAAAACGTCAACCAAACGTACTCGGCAAATATTCTACGCAAACTACCCCCTGTCTTTGGCGTCTCCACTATTTTTTGTATGGGCTTTTCAACGAAAACTAGTAGTTTGCGTCGTGGACTGTATGTTAGTAGTTTGCGTCGTGGACTGTATGTTAGCCTTCCACTTCTCTCCTGAGGGGCTTTCAACCCAAACACCGACTTCACCCTCTTCCTCGTGCATCACCTGTAGTCTTATAGTTAGCATTCTGTTCTATAGCCCCAGCAGAAAGACGGGCTAGCTTAGGCCTACATTCGCATATGCGTTTACAACTTTGTCAACGTAAGCAGCAGCCGACTTGCTAACTTCCATGATTAATGCTCTGGGGACTCGCAAATGGCCCGCGGCAAAAGAATCCTCGAGGAAGTGGTCGGCAAACCCGTTGATAGCCAGGGCCTTCTGGAATTGCCCTTTACTGGCCCATTCTAGAGCAAGCGTATGACCGGTATTGTATGCAATGCGCGCCTCGGCACCGAAATGGTCTACGTTCGTTTCTAGAAGCCGCATGAATTGGGCGCCGTTCGGCCCCCACCTAGGATCCTTAGAGATGGTATCTAGATGTCGAATATCCAGTGGGGTCTTCTCGTATACTACTGCGAGCTCATGAGCAGTACCACCAGTGGGAGATCGTAAAACGCTGTCCGCTTGGTCGTTCACAAGCTTCAGCTCCGACCGCAGAGCTTCGGCTTTGAGTTTACCACCAGGAGCAACCCCGAGCAGGTCGAACCAGCGTTGAAACCTGGCTTTTCTCTCGGTCACACTGCTCTCTGAGGATATGGGTTCTTCGAAGCCGAAATAGTCGCCAGCGAATCCGTTAATCTCCCCATAGGTAAGAACAAGTCCATTCTCGAGCGTGAGAGCTGGTGCATCCGCTACGGCTGAGCCGGCTGGATTGTGTTCGTTAGTAGGGAGTTTGGTTATGTCCCCTAAGAATCGATGCTCGGCAAAGTACATTTTCGTAGTGTAATACGGAAGTAAAATAATCTTAAGATGAAATTGTCTGTAGTCAACTAGTAAAAACAATGCTCAGGTTGGGCGCTGGGGGTTTCCTATTTGAAAGTTAGAACCTGGCATGCATAGGAGGCCAGGGCATATCGACAATTGTGCTAGTGTGTCTCTTGAGTATGAGGCTGCCTGATGATTTCTTCCATTGCATAAAATATGTTCAGTAGCTCTTACTACTTTCGCCGTAACTAGGCCAATAGGATATAATATAGGTAGAACTACTCAAACGAATATTAACCTTGCTATCCGACTTGAGGCTGCCTGAGCAACTTGGCTTGCTTGCTTCCGGGAAGCTAATGCCCTTGTAGTTGTTGTTTACTCACCTTCGCATGCAACCCGCATTCATGAATGTGACGGAACCATTCGCATCGTGGTTAGCTAAGTATTGGAATGAGATAGCATATATATGCGATCGAGTGTCTGTGGTTGCTGGTATGGAGCTGAAGACCCCCGTACTTGGTAACCTCGTCGCTAGTGGGGAGCTGAAGTTTTCTATTCCTAGTACTACTGCTGCCTCGCTGAGCAGTTCTATTGGTCCGGAAACCAGTGCTGCGGCTAGCTGAAGACCAGATCTTGTAGGCGTGTGGGGAGCTGCATCCTGCAAACGGCCTAGCGCTTGATTACTAGATTAGGAAAGTCGATCATGAATCAACGGCAACACAGCATATGACCTCCCCCATGGTGCTATGAGTGCTGTAATTATTATGTAGCAACTTATGATACGGATTATGTTTATTATGTCTTAGGCGGTGGTATCTAGGGCCCCTCTAGTTATGATGACATACTTGAGAGAGAGGGAAAAAAAAATTATAAATATCCTGTTTCCTACTTGGTAAACTGGCATCTGTTTCCAACCGGCAAGCCTTTATCTATCATAATACTACTCCGCTACCTTACCAGACTTTTAAACAACTTTAACCTTTACTTTAATACTTCTTAAAACAACCTTCAAAATGGGTATTGTTGAGAAGAATAATAAGATCTTCGTCCGCGCCGGCGATCTTACGACGAATGAGATCACTATTGAGTGGCAGCAGATGTTCAAACAGAAGAAGGAACAGTACTACTCTGTCCCCTTTTTCAACAAGGATAAGGGTATGACTTCTCTTATAGGATAATACTAGTTCCTCATGTCTGGTATTCTCTTCTGCAGGGGATATGGGGCTAACTTCAACCATAGGAGACGAGGAGAGCGTCCTCTTTATCCAGAAGGACTGGCTAGATAAGCTTAAGGAGAAGAAGACGGCTGGTGAAGACTTCACCTTTGTTGTCGACGAAACTTTCCAGTACGGCCAGGATAAAGAAAAGACTCAGCGTTGGCTGGTATTCCACGATAAGAACAGAACGCCTTACCAGGTAAGTTGTTACGTAGTATAACTTAGTAAGGTAGTTTGATTAAGAAGAGCTAACCTTATCTTATAGTGGCGATTCGTTGCAAGTATTAAACAGAAACTTGGTAGTGCACTTGCTGGTTTTGCTGGCGGAATCTTTAACAAGTATCTGCCAATTGATATTGGCAATATTGGGGCTTACTTTGGTGACCCACTCCGCAACTTTTGAGGAACCTGCGCCTACAGAGCAGGAGAACGTACTTTATTAGTTGCGTAAACGCGGATATGTGCTGTTTGTTATTATATCCTAAGCGGCTTGGGACCTAATAGAAATAATAACCTACTTGAGTAAATAAATTATTGCCTTGATTTAGTATTCGGTGTTATACTTATTACCTGCCTTTGCTATTACTCCTTTCGTATTGTCTACCTATCTGTCTATCGGTGGGCCCGATCGGGGTGGAATACTGGACCCTGGCCCACGATCTGGAAAGAACGGAAAATCCAGATCTTGAATGAGCCAATCTTGTATGAGAGCCCGGACCACCTGCAACCGTTTATATAGCCGATTCTGTCTGAATCAGACGGAATCGGGGTGGAATGATAGTAAGGGTTTAGTAGGAACCGCAACGCTTTACGGGACGGAATACTTGAGTAGTAGTAGTATTTCAGCTAGCCACTATACCTTCGATGCTTCGGCTTCCCTACTGTTTTTGTCTCTATTACCCTAGTAGTTGCTGCATGCATAGAGCTAAGAAAGCTAGCAAATAAAGTCAGCTATCCACTAAAAACCGTAGGTGATTTTAATTCGAAGAAGCTCTGCCTCTTAACCAGCCACTAACTAAATAAGTAATTCAAAAGTAGAAATCAACTATACTATTCTATACGCTTACTATGCACTTATACAAGTATAAAGAAGACCTGAGGCGGTTGATTTACGAATGCAACTGAAACACAGTCTTGTTACTAGCAAGTAGTTAGTATTGTCTGCTGGCGTAGCTTACAAATTCAATCAACTAGAGCGAATAAGGAGCTATTCGTCCAACTCTTGAAGTTATTATCGGCTTACTCATCTTATAATAAGCAAAGTATATAAGTATTCAATTGATATGCTACTCAAAAGTAATCTACCAACCCCCAAGCTCTATCTTATTAATGAACTAGAAAAAGATTAATACCTACTTTGTTACTTTATTATTTCGAAACTAATCATCTATCACTATGGGTCAAGTTGCTAGTGCTATTGCGAACGCGCTTGACAATAGCAAGGAAGAGGAAGCAAAGGCTAAAGAACAGCTTGAGCTTATGATGAAGCTTGCTGATGCCCGATTAGACACGTTTGAGGCAGGGCTGGAGAAGATGTTTCTGGACCATGAGTCCGCAATGAAGACGAGTGTTCCTGGAAAGAGAGCACTCCGATTTGAGCGTCATGTCCAAGTTGACGCTGAGAAGACAGTGAGTGGAGTTAACTCCTTATAAGGGATATCAAGCTAAACATATACTTCTATAGCCAGGCAAAGGGGTAGATGAAGCTGTGGATGCCTTCTTCGGCTCTTCTGATACTGGAAGTCGAGGCGTTCTCGATGGCTTCAAAGCTGTTGTTAAAACCGGTCTCTCAACCATTCTTGGCGACACCTCGGCTGGTGAGAGCTATGATAAGAAGTTTTTTGTTTGCGTTAAGCAGTAAGTCCTAGATCTATAGGTTGATATCTAATAGACTAGCTGACTAGCCATAGCAACGCAATCATTCGCGTCGATATATATACTTATAAGTATAACTTTAGTAACTCGGGTGTAATCTCAACCCATAAGAATATCCTAGCTTATATTCTTTGTATCTCTGTTGTAGATCACAGGGATGTCACGGTTGATGAACTCATCTACCTTGCTTCTGAGTTTACTGGAGATGGAACAATCGGGCCTGACAGCGGCTTTGATAAATACTTGGAGATGATTATGAAGACTTGGAATGCGCTTAAAGCTATTGATCCACTTCCGGTGGTAGGAAGACAACAAATCGATTACCCGTCTCTGGCAGTTCGGACTGCAGCTGCTAACTAGTAACTACGTATAGCCTCTGTTTTACTAGCAGCTATACTCATCCGTAGTACATATGGAGAACTGATTACCTTTCCCTTCTTTTCCTATTATTTCTTACTACTTTATGCCTCCTATATTATCTTAGATCTCGACCTGGACCTGGACCCGGACCCCGGGACCGCTGCTAGCCTGTCTGCTTCCCGTCCGATAATACTCCTCATCTGCTGCTGCTCACTGCCGCTCCTGTAAACCCTTCCGTACATAGCGACTGTGAGGGCCTACACCTCTGGCAGTATGCGTAACCCTAACCCAAAGTTTCAAGCGCTTGATTAATAGACATCGCGCCTGAGTCCTCTTGCTCTACTTCTTTAGGCTCTTTTCGGGTGAAGTTGGTAGTTGGCTTTGGGTAGGCCGATTCTGTCCGAGTCGGGATGGATTAAATAGTTAAGCTACCTTGTGTTCTCGCAAACCTTGACTGCGACGGACTATATTTGTTGGGATCCTGCTGGGCTTGCTATCTGGTGATTGATGCGAAAACGTGGAATCCCTTGCTTGCTGCCGACTGGGGCTTCACGAATACTCCCGTAGCTGCCGACGCAACCTCCCGCAGGCTAAGTAGCCCCGACTTGCGTAGCGATCGGACGGGCTATAGAGGCCCAAGAATACGGCGTGGCCGCCGGGATCCCCTCCAGCATTGTGCCCCGCGTCGGTGGCCGGCGTGCGGCGCGCGCACGTGGGGAAAAGCACCGCCATTCCGGAGCAAAAAAAAAAGGCCATCGTAGCAAAAATGACCGACCACACCGGGACTTGAACCCGGGTCTTCTCCTTAGTTAGAGGAGTGCTCTGCCTACCAAGCTACGTGGCCTTCCGTCGTTGTTGAGAGAATCCGAAATAACCTTGAACTTAAAGGCAGGCGAGAGGATGCGGTTAGCCCGTGACGTGTGGAAGGGAGGCTTCGGTCCTCTTCTAGTCACGCGGGCCGCGCGGCTGCCCGGGTGGCTGGGCGGGCTGCTTTGTAGCCCCGTATTCTAACCGATGTGATATACCCGGTAATTCGGAGCCGACCGTATGCTCTGATATACTATAGTCTCTAGTTGGTAGGCTCTTTAAATGGGATTTGCTTAATGAAGCGCTGGGTTCTATATAATATCTCTCTAGTTATCTTCCTCAAATTCCTACCTGACCTGTTCTACCTCGTTATCTAGGGGGATATCTCGATGACTAAATAACCCCCGTTATCGCCCTTGTTGTCGTCCTTGTTGTCGCCCTTGCTATCGTCCTCGTTGCCGTCCTCGTTGTCGCCCTTGTATTCAATATCTCTTCAGCCATCTTCCTCGACTTCCTGCTCGACCTGTTCTACCTCGTTATCCAGGGGGATATCCCGATGCCCAAATCGTTCCAGCATTTCCTTCTTTAACATGTCTACTCTTGACTTGCGTGGTTCAAGGCCATCCAATGTGACATTCTTCTCCCACGACCAGATTTTGAATTGGATTCCTATAAGTCTCCCTAGTCGAGAGACGAATGGAACGTACTTGCCTAAAGAACCCTAGTTATCGCCCCCGTTATCGCCCTCGTTATCGTCCTTGTTATCGTCCTTGGTATCGCCCTCGTTGTCGCCCTCGTATACAATGCGTGGTTCAAGGCCACCCAACATACTATTCTTCTCCCACGACCAGATTTTGAATTAAATCCCCGTGAGTCTCCCTAGTCGAGGGACGCCACAAGGCCCTCAAGAAAGGGGGAGATCTCGATGCCTGAATAACCCCTGTTATTACCCTCGTTATCGTCCTTGTTGTCGCCCTTGTTGTCGCCCTCGTATACAATGCGTGGTTTAAGACCATCCAGTATGACATTCTTCTCCTATGAAGAGAGTTTGAATTGGATCCCCGTGAGTCTCCCCAATTCATGGACGCCACAAGGTCCTCGAGTGAGGTGGATCTCGTACTGAGGCCTGCAGCCCCGCTCTGCGAGGTAGGGACGCTACAAGGTCCTCGAGGACGGGGGATATCTCGATATCAAAATCGTTCCAGCATTTCCTTCTTTGAGATGTCTACTCTCGACTTGCGTGGTTCAAGGCCATGTATTATGACATTCTTCTCCCACGACGATGATTTGAATTAGATCCCAGTGAGTCTCCCTAGTCGAGAGACGAACGGGACACACTTGCCTAAATAACCCCCGTTATCGCCCCCGTTGTCGTCCTCGTTATCGCCCTTCTTGTCGCCCTCGTATACAATGCGTGGTTCAAGACCATGCAATATAACATTCTTCTCCCACGACGAGGGTTTGAATTGGATCCCCGTGAGTCTCCCCAGTTGAGGGACGCTACAAGGTCCTCGAGTGAGGTGGATCTCGTACTGAGGCCTGCAGCCCCGCTCTGCGAGGTAGGGACGCCACAAGGCCCTTGACTAGGGGGGATAGCTCGATACCTAAATCGTTCCAGCATTTCCTTCTTTGATATGTCTACTCTTGACTTGCGTGGTTCAAGGCCATCTAATACGACATTCTTCTCCCACGACTAGATTTTGAATTAGACTCCCGTGAGTCTCCCTAGTTGAGAGACGAACGGGAGGTAATTGCCTAAATAACCCCCGTTTTTGCCCTCGTTGTCGTCCTTGTTGTCGTCCTTGTTGTCGCCCTCGTTGTCGCCCTCGTTGTCGCCCTCGTTGTTGCCCTCGTTGTTGCCCTCGTTGTTGCCCTCGTTGTTGCCCTCGTTGTTGCCCTCGTTGTTGCCCTCGTATACAATGCGTGGTTCAAGACTATGCAATATAACATTCTTCTCCTACGACGAGAGTTTGAATTGAATCCCCGTGAGTCTCCCTAGTCGAGGGACGCTATAAGGTCCTCGGGTGAGATGGATCTCGTACTGAGGCCTGCGGCCCTACTCTGTGAAGCACGTCCTCAGACGCTTGAGCTCCTCGATCGTGATATTATTGGCTTGAATCCCTGGCTTCTTTAGGTAAATAAAGACAATATGCGTTGCGATCGTCTTTTCAACGTGCCCGGCTGCCTATATACTGACTTATTCCGGTGTAGCAGACCGACTACACCCGTCATACAAAGTTCCTATGTCGATGTTGAGAATCCTCGCAATCTCTTTCACCCGGCTAATCTATTTAGCATCGTATAGCAAGCCTCGGCGGTCAGCGTCTCCGAGGGGCTTGAAAGATATACTACTAGCCGCAACTTTCAGAACATATAATTAGCCTTTGTAATCCCTAGTACTTAACAAACCATAGGTCTTTAGAGGGAGTATTATTTTATTCGTTACTCGAGGTTTACCTAGCGTATACGTAGCAGATACTACCGACTAAGGGAGCTTAGTAGTTGGTCTATCATGTAACTCAGAAATAAACAAGTCTATCTAGCGTATATACTATAGATATAGTCGATTAAAGAACTCAATGTTTAGTCCTTTATTAATAACCCTAAGTAATATATCCTTATTATTATTTAGATTATATCTACTAAACCCTAGACGCCTAGGTAAGCTCGAAACTAGTGTATAGCTACTATAACTATTCTGATTCGTTTTCCATCATAGCACGTGCAATATTCCTGCCTTCTTCCCGGTCCTCCTCGTTATGGATCTTAAGCCCATAGGTTAGAAGAAACTCATACTCCCCAGCAAAGTGTTTCTGTCAGATTGAGCGCGCTACGCGAGGCTTCGGCAACGCTCGGCAGAACACTATTTCCGAGCGCCGAGCCCCGGGTCAGGGGGTGGCATACCCCCTTCCCTACGCGCCCCTGAAGGGCCCTTAGACAGTTACACACATAACGGAATATACATCGTTCTGAACCCTCAATTCGACAATTAACAGTCTGATACGTGCTGCGTTTACGTTAAACGCCGCCAGCCATCTATTCTACGCATACGAAAGCCCTTTCTACGCGCCCAATTGAACCCCTATCGTCGAAATGTCCTCCTCAAGCGCGAAAATCACCCTGAATACCCCTGCCGACTGGATCCTATGGATCGACCAGCTGCAGTCGAAGGCCAAGTCCTACGACCTCTGGCGATATATCGATCCCCAGCGCCCAGGCGCCTTAAACACGGGACAAACGCGTCTCGAGCGGCGGATGGAGCGGCCGAAGCGCCCCGAAATATACGATCACCCCAAGACCGGCAAAGCCGAAGTGCTAAACGAAGACGCCGACTACGAAACGCGCGCACAAGCGCTGGAGGAGCTCTCGGCAGCCAATCTCGCCCTGTATAAGGAACGTCGGTCTGAATATATGGAGCGCTCCAAGACCCATGAAGCGTTCCTGAAAGGGATTCGCGTGCTCGAAGACTGGGTCCGAGATACAGTCAGCACCTCTCTCCTCAAGAGCTGCTGTACCGCGGACCGCGCACTGGACCGCTGGGTCTACGCGTTGAAGGAACGCGTAGGGATAACCACTCGTGAGAGACGCACCGCCGCGAGCGAAGCATATAAGAGAGCGCTCCAGATACCGGAGCGGAAGCGACTCGCAACGAAGAAAGAGCTGGAAGAGTGGCTTACGAAGTGGGAAGAATCAATCCACGAAGCAGCAGCGGCGGGCGTCCCGGGTACCGAGCTCCCCAGTATATGGTTCCCGGAATTCACCTACGCCGTGAGCCACAGCTACGCCGATACATGGATCTTCTCATACCAGACCGTCAAGGACGAACGCGTCGAAAGCGAGAAACTGAGCGTTGGAGAAGTCCTGTCAGACGCGCGGCGGTTCCTACAAACAACCTCTCAACACAACCCGAAGAAGCAGGCCGGACGCGGAGCGTTTGGTCCTACCACAGAAGCCACTTCAAGAAACGAAGAGGAAGGGGAACGAACTTCCCCCGCGCGCCTAACGGTACCAATGAGAAGCAGCCGGGGATCTCGAGGAAACACGCGCTCCAGAGGAGGAGCTCGCAGAGACCGGTCGCGGAAGAGAAGCGATGGGGAGAGCGAGGGCAACCGGCTGTGCCCTGCGTGCCTGAAACCTCACCCGCTCTCGAAGTGCTGGCTCGTCAACGAACGGGAGCGCCCTGAGTGGTACGAGCCGAGTAGAGAGCTTCTCGCGAACCTCGACGAGCGGATGAGAAAAGACGAAACGCTCGCAAACCGTGTCAGGAAGGTGAGAGAACCAGCGAAAGAAGAACACTGACTATATGGCCGAAGCAAGGGGACCGTCCCGAGTGCCTTCCACACCGCTCCGGAGACATACGAGCTCTTCAGATCGGCGATCCTGGACTCTGGATCAACGATCCATGTATTCAACGACCCCTCGTGGTTCACCACACTGTCAGGAAAGCGCAACAGGCGCCAGAAACTCGCTCCGCGTGCCTGGATAGGCTACCTAGTCGGCTACACATCAAGCAACTCGTTCCGGATATGGAATCCCCTGCGTAGTGAAGTATTTACCACGCGCGATGTGGTGTTTAACGAGAAATGCCACTTCGACGGCAACGTCAGGTCCCTAGTGGAAGAAATCAACCACCTCGACCTGCAGGCGATTCAGCAGCGCATAGAGGAGCTGATCAGACAGACCACGGGCTCAGAAAACTATATACAAAGCGCTGACGAAGAAGCAGAAGAAGTCTCAGAGCACGCCGATCCCGGTGAGCCTGCCCTGGAAGCAGCAGAAGCGCTCGGGCACCATAACGCTGAAGCGGACGCGCCTAAGCAAGTGGAAGGGCAATACACGGGAGCGCGGTTTGAGCCCTTTCCGACGCCGGAGGCGTCGCCTCCCACATCCTTTCTCGCGGTGCTCACCGAGCTCGACGTGAGGGGGTGGGGAGAAGAGCATACGCGGGATATCCCCGCTACGAAGCCCATCTATAAGAAGGTCACACCACGGACGTCGTACAAAGCCGCTTTTCTAGCTGGAACGACGCTTCACAAACAAAACCCTAGACGTCAAGACGGCCCACGAAGGGATCGCGTTGTGCCTGGCCAGCCGCGCGCCCCTGAGAGGGTTTCCGAGGCAACCTTCACCGTGAAATCCGGGAATGACGGCGCGGATGAAGGCCCTTTGGAAGACCAAGTTACAGGTCAGCAAGAGGCAAGTGAATCCCAGGAAGGTTGCTCCGTGGTAGAAGCGTTTGAGACAAGTGAGCCCAGCTCCCACAGAGACCGGAGCCAGACGCTCGCAGAAGAGACGAAGGATCTCAGAGCGCGCGGTAACCGGGATGTGGTGACTGCGTTGGCGCCGACCGAGCTCCGCTCCCGCGTGGAAGCGCAAGGCCGAAAGAAAGGCGCCTACTGGAGGGATCTGGCCCCTTTGCCAACGTCTCACGATCAGTTGCAACGTCACCCTTTCCGGGAGGAGTTCCTGCGCGCTGAAAGAAGCCACCTAGACGGGCACAAGGAGTCCCGCTCGTGGGAAGAGGTCGCAAGAAGCGCCTCGCGCGGCTACCAGGTCCTCGGATGCCACTGGGTATACACTTACAAGCTTGATAAGCACGGGCGATTAGCCAAATTCAAGGCACGCCTGGTTATTCGAGGAGACCAGCAAGCAAGAGACGCGCGGGAGACGTACGCCGCGACGCTCGCAGGTATGTCGTTCCGAGTTCTGATGGCCGTTGCCGCGCGCTTTGACCTAGAATTACTACAATACGATGCGGTAAACGCCTTCGTCCACGCGGATCTAGACGAGACCGTCTATATAGAGCTTCCGCCGGGCTACCGCGTTCCAGGAAGAATCCTGCGATTGAGAAAGGCGCTATACGGCCTACGACGTTCCCCTCTCCTGTGGCAACGCCACTTAGAAAAGGGACTCGTAGAACGTGGATTCGAACGCGTGGCAGGCGAGAATTGCTGCTGGCAAAAAGGCGAAGTCATGTTCTTCTTCTACGTGGACGACTGCGTACTGGCGTTTCCCCGCGCGCGCAAGGAGGCAGCGCTGCGGGAGGTCTCTGAGCTACAGAAGCGCTACCACTTCGAAGGAGGCGGAGACCTCCAGTGGTTTTTAGGAATCGAGGTCATACGAGACCGAGCCACACGCCGATTATGGCTCTCGCAGGCAGTTTACGCCGAGAAGGTGAGGCGGCTGCTTCCACCCACAGCTAACGCGTTAGAAGACGGTTCTGAAGCGCGCTCGTACACTCCTATGGTCCTGGAGGAGCTTCTACCCTACGAAGGAGAGGCCAGCGCGTGGGAAGTCAACCAGTACCAGAAGAAGGTCGGGACTCTCCTATACGCCGCAATAATGACGAGACCCGACGTCGCGTTCGCGGCAAGCCGTCTCGCGCGCTTCAACCAGAATCCCGGGCCGAAACACCAACGCGCAGCGGACAGAGCGCTCGCCTACCTCTATTCCACCCGCTACCTCTGCCTCGAATACGGCTGCGAACCCGGCAGCGAGGAAGACACGCTTATCGTGGCGTCAGATGCCAGCTTCGCAGACAACTCCCTGGATCGGAAGAGCTCTCAGGCGCTCGCTATGAAGCTATTCGGCGGGCTCGTTGCGTGGCGCGCTAACAAACAGGCCACGGTCACCACATCTACGACGGAAGCTGAGCTGCTATCCCTCTCGCAAGCAGCAAAGGAAGCGCTATTTGCAAGCCGCCTGATCTCCGCGCTAAACGTACACCTTCCAACAGAAGAAGCGCCGGAAGCGACGTTTCCCGCAGAAAAGCGCAGCGTACCCACGATTCAGATCCAATGCGACAACTTACAGACCGTTCGACTGGGGACAACGGATCTAGTGACCCTTCAGACGCGCTTACGGCACGTGGATATTCACAACTACTGGCTACGACAAGAGGTCGCAGCGAAGCGCGTATCCGTGGCATACACACCGTCGTCAGAGCTTATGGCAGACGGTCTGACGAAGAGTCTCGCGCTCCCACAGTTCCGCGAGTTCCGGAAGCAGGTCCGTATGAGCGAACAGGCAGAGCTCCTGAAGCGGAATCGGAGACGCGAATTAGAAGAAGACGAAGAAGCGTGGGCCAAGAGAGCCGCGCAGGAAGACGTCTGGGCGGTCGAAGACCACGAGAAGCGCGCTCCGAGTGCCACGGGAAGCTCGTGACTTGCTGTGGTACGCGAGTTGTACGTATAAAACGTCCTCTTAGCAGAAGGAGAGGAGACAGCGCAGTAGAAAGCCTACCAGCCGAGGGATGAGCGAAAGAAGAGCTCTGAACGCAGTGTAATCTAAATACGAGGGGGAGAGGGCGACTCGAGGGCAGGGAAGCCCCGATTCGGCGCTCCCCTGAGGGGGTGTGTCAGATTGAGCGCGCTACGCGAGGCTTCGGCAACGCTCGGCAGAACACTATTTCCGAGCGCCGAGCCCCGGGTCAGGGGGTGGCATACCCCCTTCCCTACGCGCCCCTGAAGGGCCCTTAGACAGTTACACACATAACGGAATATACATCGTTCTGAACCCTCAATTCGACAGTTTCTTCAGCCATTGCTTCTCCTTCCTAGTATACCCGGCCTCTTGACTAACCCCGTCTGACTGTCGGAGGTGATCCTTGAAACGCTCCCTCTCGCTTTCTGGCCATGATACATTAATTACATAGTTAACATCCTCCTCTAGCGTAGAAGGCCCGTATTGTAGCCCGCTAGGGGGCTTTCGCAACTGAACAACAAAGAGCGTCTGTCCTGGGCGGGAGTAGACCACTGGGTGGCCGTCCGCCTGGTGGAGCGCATAACGGCCGAACCCGTCGCCACCTTTCCTACCTCCGATCAAGTTAAGCGGCAGCATGCCTCCGATGACGTTACAAATGCTGTCCGGTGTATGCAAGACGTTCTCAAGGCGGAGAGTAGACAGCATACTGAGCCCATCGGCCCTGGGAGGCTGTGCGATAGGCAGCTCAACGGTGCCGACCCCGTAGACACGAGGGCCCTCGCCGACGTAGTTATACGTTACGGATTCGAAAGGTATATACTCCGTAAACCAGGCGCGATTCTTACATGCACTTTCCGACGAGAAAAGAGATAGATAACGTTAGTAGGATGGTTTTGAGGAAGTAGATGTAAAATCTAGGAAGGATACAGGAGGGGGGCTAAACAAGGGATAACTACTAGGGAGGTATGACGTACTGGGCGTTTGAGCCGCTTGCAAATACCCAGGTAGGGCAGACCTGCTGCGGTAAAGAGGACATATTCCGTCTATATTACCTGAGGTTTTATGGTTTTTTGTCGGAGAGGTAGTGCTTCTTTGGTTTTGGTTTGACTTATCAAGTGCGTATAAAGTCTGCGCGGGGCGAGGGAAGGTTATTGACGAGTGGGGTTGATTATCGAGGGGTTGATTCGGCTCCCAATAGGTTCACGGGTACCCGTGCGTGTAAAATTTCACGGGTACCCGTGGAAATGACTAAGCAACTCTGATATAGGGCTCATGAGCCAATGAGAGGCACGGCCTGCATCAAACTTATCCGGAAAGTTTACGACTTTACTACGATGCACTCTTCGGGCTTACTACCAGCGTATAACGCCTCCTGCTCTGCCTTATCTTGCTCGACTCGTTTCCAGACTTCGCTCATACCTCTCTCACTGTTTTTAAAGGGGTTTTGTCCATCTTCCGCAATAATCAGCTCATCGACCCGTTTGTGTTCAGCCCTATCCCAGTCCAGATAAGCCATCATCTCCTCCTTCGTCCAATCCCTTGACCCGTGTGAGGTAGTGCAGCGTCCTTTCATCTGCTTATAGTCAAGACACCACTCATAACACTTTTTGTCATAACGTAGCGGAAGTCCCATTGCCCTTCGATACTCCTGGTTTGTTTTGACACTCCCACGAGGTTGAGCACCGTACCAGGCGCTTCTTGCTGCACAGTACCGTCCGTATATCGCCTGAGGTGAATCGTATCCTGGCAGCGAAGGTGAATGCGAATGCGCAAATGGTGATAATACCCGAGGTGGTGATATACTGGTCTCTACCACTATAGCAATAGTCGGTTGAACCAACTCTGGTACGTCCTGCACGGCGTTTGAAGGAGGTTCTTGTGTATCTGTCGTCGTCCCGGTAAATATCGCAGTTGATACTGTAGCTGGATCTGGAGTAGGTGTCGGTTCAGGCAATAAATGCGTGTATCGCAGAGGGCACGCCTTTGAAGTCATAGTATGGCCAACTGTATGACACCTACTGCATTTGCTTGGGGCCCGTGAAGCAACTTCAACAACTTCGAACCCGCTAGGCTCTCGTCTAGTGCTTGATTTGGGAATACTGGGATTCTCTAATTGCAACCTGGGCTCTATGCGCTGGCGAGGCTCCAGCAATAGCTGCGGCGCTCCATCACGCCTCAAATGCCAATGTGCATGGAAGTGCTCACGTAGAAGAACAAGATTCTGTTCTTGTAAAGTCTTCAATTTGTGTAAGCATGGGAGACCATATACTCGAGAAAACGTCCCCGTACAGGCTGTGGAAGGATTTGTGTCTTTCTTCGTGAGCAGCTTCCGTTGCTCTTCTACTTTGCGCAAGGCTTCATGCGATACCCAGCCAAGCACTGCGCCGTACATTGACCCTGAAAGCTCAACTGGTATCCGTATTTGCTATTTAACTTGATTTGACTTTAGATCCGATAGCTGATTTAGTAAAGCATGCTTCATTGCTCGCCAAGCTTCAAAAAGGTCTAATGTGGATCGTTTCAAGTGCGATTTAAGTAGTGCATGAATACCCTCAACTCGCGAAGTAGCCACATTGCCAAAATGGGTATGCTGATCGACCCAGGCTTTCACTAGCTTCTCCTTGTATGGTTTCAACCAAACGGACGTAACATAGCCGACTTCTTCGAGATGGTCCAGAAGATAGCGTTCCTCAAACTGGGAAACGCGCTCCTCAAAAACCACCTCAGATGGCGAGCTGATGATCGAATGCCAGGAGTTATAGAATTCTTCCCAGCTCTGAGTTGAAGGTTTGAGCGCTGCAGGATTGTTGACTGTCTTTGGCTTAGTAGAGTCAAAAGCTGGATTACAATGTTGAAGAACGGCCTTGTTCGCATGCCAGAGGCAAAGCAAAGATGCAGAAGAGGGGAAGATGGTTGCAACAGCGTTAATGCATGCTAAGCAGCGATCTGTGAGGATAACCGCAGGTAGGCTAGCGTTGCACTGACTATACAAGGATTTGACCCGCTCCAAAGCCCAGGTATAGTCATCTTCTGCCTCGCCGCTAAGAAATGCAAACGCAATACAGAACGACCGTTGGCAAGCATCGACGCCAACTATATCAAGAAGTGGCATACCATACTTATTAGTCTTATAGGTACAGTCTAGTAACATGATGTCTGGGTAGGCTTGGAGAAGGGCTAAGGAATCTGGATGAGCGAACAAGACAGCCGTAACTCGGCCATCTGGTGCAAACTGCATGCGACTCCAGAAGCCTTCCTCATCAAGTTGATTGGCAAGTGCATGGATCGAGGTCTGCCCTTCACGAACATCTCGTTTAGCGGCTGCAATATGATTGTAGATATCCTGCTGGGTCGCTATAGAGTCTGTCGTTTGTCGTATGTATGTTCTGATGTCCCTGGGTGCGACGCCAGCGTTTGAAAGACCGGCAACCTTGGCTTGATCCTCCTCAGATAGCTTACGATGCGTTGGGTGAGCAGACGGATGTTGGCTTGGGGGATGATTATGAGAAGAAAAACGCTTATCGGGCCGGTGTCTCAAGCTCCATGTGCTCTTATCCAAAGATTCCTTAGCAAGGACGGAAAATTGACAACCAGTCCCCCTACTAGTAGTTTGCCTTTGCCGCGCTATTGATGTGCTTGGCGGATGACACGACCTATCGCATGAATATGTAATCGTCCGTCGTCCGCTTTTCTCCTTTGTTGATCTCCCGGTAGTGAATGCGTATCCCTTTGTCGCCGCCCAGTTATTGATTGACATAAAAAGCTCATCGCGAGATTTATGATCGCTTTCAGGGGGGAGACTGTCGTCTGGGAATGTGAGTATTGAGTCTTTGAGAGCTATTTCCATTTTTAAGAATATATGACTGAAGTGCTGGATGCAAATAACGCGTGAAAGGTGTATGACACAAGACGCGTTCATTGACGTGGGCAGGTTGCTTAGTCATTTCCACGGGTACCCGTGAAATTTTACACGCACGGGTACCCGTGAACCTATTGGGAGCCCCGGAATGTGTGGCTCCCTTCCTCCCGCCGTCACCCAACATGTTTGCAGCCATCCTTGCCATTTTTACTCGTCGTTCGCGTCCTCTCTCTCTCAATCTCTCCCTTCCCACCCCAACCCTCTCTCTTTCTCTCAGCTCTCGGGCTCGTTCATTCGCCTTGATTCGACGTAAAGCAGCTAGAACAGGATGATATTTATAATATCTCGATATAAGATAAGTTATTTTCTTAGTTCTAATTTCTAGCGTCGGACTGATATATATTGAGAAATCAATAGCTCTACGTAGACGCGTATTACTTACGTTCTGTTCCCCCACCCTGGCAGCTTGCCCTAGCGCCGTACGAAGAATAAACCGCGCCTAGTGGTCCCTTATTATCCCTTTCTTGTGTTTACTCTCGCCCTCTCTCGGAGGATTAGATACTCCGTTAATGCTATACGTCATTTCTCATTCTTGAATATTATCCCTTAGTTTCTCGTTCTTATTCCTATCCTCCTCCTATGTCCTATTGCTTACCTCTTCACTCTTTACTCTTAACATGCTCTCTTACTATGTATAATACTTTTGTTAGATGATTACGGTTTATATGATTAAAAGAGTTATTACTACTATCTAGGTATGACTTATCCTTACTCACTTATAAATAAGGTGCTACCTAAAGAGATTAGTGATAAGGTAATATGAGTTCGCTTTCCGTCCTCTGCTACACCTTGTCTATAAGAGGGGCAAGAAAAGCGCTCCAGGGGCCTTTCTGCTTTGCCTCTCTACTATGAGAATGGGAAATGTTCGAATATTCGTAGGCGCACATTCAGGGGTCAATCGTGATGTGTATTGTGCTTCTTCTTTTCCTAAGACCTGTCCGTATCCCTTACGCGCCTTCTTCCGGCGTGTTCCCTGTGACTAAGCGCACCTAGCGCGGTCCTCGGCCAAACATTCCTCCTAGCGCCTTCCTGGCATCCTAGGCGCTCTGCGTGTGCATCGCTTCCAGCGCCCCTGGCCTACCACCCTTTTTGACACACCCCTTTAGCCTTCGCGGCTCGAGACCTCGGTCCTAGGGCGCTCCTGCGCGCTTCATACGCAGCAGCGGAGGCTACCCTTAGGGGTGGCAGGCCAACCGACTTCTTCCTTATTCCTCTCCTCCTTCAAAGATCCCTCCGCTCCATGCGGTCTCTGCGAGAGGGTCCCTCTCTTCGCGTAGTGGTTCCGTCTCCTTCTTCACCAAGTTGAGCTGTTTTATGAAGTCTTCAAACGGTTGCCTTGCGAGGCTCTTCGTGAGTCCGTCCGCAACAAGGTCTTTCGTTGGTGTGTGGACGACGTTGATAGTGCCGTTCTCAACCTCCTGTCTCAACCAGTGGTTGTGTATATCAACGTGACGAAGCCTCGTCTTTAGAGTCACGAGTTCCTCAGTTACTATTCGAATCGTCTGGAGGTTGTCGCACTGGATCGTTATTCCGCCGCTTGGAATCGTCGTATTAAGAGCACTCAACAGACGGCTAACGAATATAGCTTCGCGTGCTGCTTGTGAGAGGGCGAGAAGCTCTGCTTCTGTCGTTGATGTTGTGACTGTGTCTTGTTTGTTCGCTCTCTATCCGATCAATCCTCCAGCAAGCCGTAGTGCGTACGCCTGAGAGCTCTTTCGATCTAGCGAGTTATCTGCGAAGCTGGCGTCTGATGCGACTTCGAAACTCTTGTTGTTGCCATCGTACTCGAGACTAAGGAAGCAGGTGTCCAAGATGTACTGCAATACTCGATCTGCAGCGCGATGATGCTTCTGAGAGGGATTCTGGTTAAACCTCGCCAGACGGCTTGCAGCAAAGGCGATATCGGGGCGCGTCATCACCGCCAAGTATAGGATCGATCCAATCTTTCGTTGGTATGCCGTTATTTCGCTCTTTGAGGCGTGCTCCTCGGCGGGCAGTAGCTCCTCGTTCGTCATAGGTGTCGTAAATCGAGTGTTCTTCCTCTGTGATCCTTTATGTGTGCCTTGACCAATCAACCGTGCGATCTTCTGTGCGTATGCTGCCTGAGATAGCCAGATTTTCTTCTTGGCTCGGTCGCGCGTGACCTCGATTCCTAGAAACCAGTGAAGAGGGTCTCCGCCTTCCAGGTGGTACTTCTCTTTGAGCCCGTTAATGAGGCGCTCAGCAGCGTTTCTACACTCAGGGGGAAACGCGAGAACACAGTCGTCGACATAGAAGAAGAAGAGCATGCGTCCCTTCCGCCAGCAGCAATTCTCGCCTGCGACGCGTTCCATCCCCATTGCTTTCAGACCGTTCTCTAGATGCCGTTGCCACAGTAGAGGGGACCTGCGAAGGCCGTATAGAGCCTTCTTCAGCCGCAGGACCTTCCCCTGCTGCTCATGGCCCGGTGGAAACTCCATATATACTGTCTCGTCGATCGGAGCGTGGACAAAGGCATTAACTGCGTCGTACTGCAGTAAGGTAAGATCTTGCTGGGCCGCGGTGGCAATAAGGGTTCGGAACGATTGTCCAGCGAGGGTCGCAGCGTATGTATCCTTGAAAGCGTTTTTAGCCTGTTGATCTCCTCGAACAACGATCCTTGCCTTGAGTTTCTGGAGTGCTCCCTTCTCGTCCGTTTTATAGACGTATACCCACCGGCAACCCAGAATCTGGTGCCCGGCGGCTTCTCTACGGTCCACGACGACGTATGTATCCATCTCATCGTGGCTCGCGAGGTGCTTCTCTTCCGCTTCTCGGAATCCCCTCTCGTAGGGGTGGCCGTATAGATCGGCATGTTTCTGAGGCACTGGGGGTAGTACGCCTGCTTGGCTTTTTCGCTGGGGCAGAGGACGGTCCTCTCCCGGAACGCTAGAGGCCACGGTCTCAACCGCGGGCCCCCCGTCACCTGACACGGGCCTACCGTTGTGGGAGCTTAGCCCAGAGGGAAGGTCTTCCTTTACCCTCGAATCAACGTGGTTTCTTCCCTGACGGAGGTCGAAGGCACGCTCACACCCAGGGTTTCTAAGACTCCTCCTGGGCCCAGGGGCAGGGTTCATACCATTACCACGTCCGGCTACGGTGAGACCTTCGAGTCTGTTGTTCCAACATACTACCGCTTCCAGGCTGGTATCGGCGTTCTTCGCCTTTTGCTTCATCTTCACTCGTTTTCTACCCGTTCTGGTGCCGCCGAGGAAAGCGGCTTGCCAGGAGGTACGCGGAGTGGTAATTGGAAACTCTTCGTGGATCGATTCGCGTGCATGAACCGCCTCAGGAGCGATCGAAGCACGTCTCTTCCTCCACCCCTTCACTCCGAGTGCCTCCTCAAGGCCTGCGAAGAACGAGGTGGGTGGCGTCCGCGGTGGTGTATTGAGTTCGAATCGTGACTCCACGTACTTAGGCGACGGCGGTGCGGTGTATTCTTGTGCCTCTTCGTCTTCAATGTACTGGACTTCATCGACTTCTTCGTCTGCGGTGTGTGCGTACTCTGGAGATGTTATCCCTGTGGGCGAGACCTCTAGTCGCGCGAGAAGAGCGTTGAGCTCGTTCACGTCGAGGTCTTTGAGGTCATCCCGCAGCTCGTTGATATCTCTATTAAAGAACTCGGTTTCCCTGAACACAACGTCTCGCGTTGTGATAACGCGGGCAGTAAGCGGATTCCACACGCGGTAGGAGTTGCTAGTACTGTACCCAATGAGGTAGCCTATCCATCCTCTCGGTTGAAGCTTTCTCGACTTATTCCTGCCCAGCTGTGCGTCTGTTGTGAGCGCATACACTTTGCAGCCGTACGCTCGAAGGTGGGCTTGATGAGGCTTCCCGAGATCTGGGCCGCGAAACTGATTATGGAACCGTTCGAAGGGCGTTTTCCAGCCGCGCGCCGCTGACGGCGTCCTGTTGTATAAATACGTCGCGGCGGCAACGATTTCGGGCCACAGCATCTCAGGGAACTTGCCTGCCTCGCGAAGGGTCCTAGCCTTCTCCTTGATAACTGCTGCGATTCGCTCGGCGCCTCCGTTCTGGGCCTGCGTATTGGGCGCAGAGGGTTCGAGGACCACCCCTTGAGATTGAAGGTGAGTGGCGACTTGCTGATGAATCGTTGCAACCTCGCGGTCACATTCGAAGACTTTGACCTGTATATTATATTGCGTCTTCATCATGGCCATGAAGAGATCGAATACCTCGAGGAGCGTCTCTGTTGTACGGTCCTTAAGGTAGTAGTCCCACGAGTATCCTGTTAGTCGGTCAGAGAGTATTACCGTAGACATATAGCCTCCGTATCCTTGAGGGCTAATCGAGTGAAAGTCGAACGCCACTCTTGATCCTGGTTTTGCCCACGCTATAGACTCGCGTGGGGCACGTCGAACAATTCGTCTTGTCTTCCCTTTTCCACACGCTGAGCAGTCAGGCAGCTTGTTGCGTAGGTCACCCATGATCTTCACGCCTCGAGAGGCGTTGACGAGGTGCTCCAGCACCCCCTCGCCCGGGTGACCCAGTCTCTGGTGCCATCTGAACGGTCTTCCTGCGAGTCTTTTGCGCGGTGTAAACGATGTGTGGCGCTGCTTCGCCTGCGTGACGAATCCTGCTTTGGTATTGTCCTCGATAACCTGTTGTCCATGGAGATCGTGAAGGTAGCAGACGAGTGTCCCATCCGCTCTTCGTACGCAATTCTGGCCTGGGCGGTTATCCCACCACATCCCTCGTTGCCGTAGAAGGCGGTAGGAGACTAGATTCGTTGCGAATTCTTCGCAGTAAGCGACGTTGTATAAGCGGAGTCTTACCTTCTTCCCCCGCTCAGCGTCAGCCGTTATATCCACGTTTCCATACCCTAGGATTGGGACTTGTGAGGCTCCTGCCCATAGGTAATCCCCTGGTTCAGCTGCTCTGAAACCTGAGAATCGAGCCCGGTTGTTGAACACGTGTAGCGATGATCCTGAGTCGTATATCGCAGAGTTGTGTAAGGGGTACTCAGTCCGGATCATGAACGCAGAACGGTCACTCGTATACTGCTTCCTCCACGATGCGTTGGCTGACCCCATACACCGACCATACAGTCAGGTCTGCTTCGCTTCCTTCTCGCGTTGTTCACGGATCTTCTTCACGCGGTCCGCGAGGTCGTCATCGGCCTTGAGACGCTCGGTGACCTTCTTCATGATGTCGTTGCTGGGCCTCCATCCTTCATACGCTTCCTCTGGGAAGCAGTAGAAGCAGTTGGCAAGTAGGTGTCGTGGCAGATCACATCCGTGACACGTTGGCATCTCGTTTTGGGTCCGCGAATCGGCGGCCCTATGTCGCTTCTTGGTTGTACTCCGAGGCATGGTCTCCTTGGGTCCTTCTCTTGTTGTGGCAAAGGCACCTCTTGAGGCTCTTGGTCCTGTCGATAGGGTATCTGCGTGGATTCGTATATATCGTCGTACTTCCGCAGAGATCTCGCTGATCGAGGGGTTGTCCGACTCGTGGAACTTCGCCTCGAACGTGGCGTGGAACGCAGAAATAGCGGTCTTCGCAATGACCTTTAGGAAGTCCTCGCTCCACTCGCTGAAGTCCCTTGTCTGGGCAAGGTTGACCTCTTGTCCCTTCAACATTGCGGCCTCCCATTGCTCGAGCCAGTTCTCGATCTCGGCCTTCGTGGTTATCCGCTTTGTAGCCGCTTGCTTGACGGTCTTCTCGTACTCCTCACGCGCGGCGCTCTTTTGTTCATTGTTCGAGATCGAGGCCACGCCCTTCAGCTTGACCATCCAGGCTTGGAGGGTCTCCGTAGGTTTACAGCACGCATTGACGTACTTCTCGGCTGCTGTCGATAGGACCCAGTTGCGGAGCTCTCGTAGAGCAGCCGCTTCACGCTCGTAGATACGGATATCATGGTTGTAGTCGCTCCGGAGCTGTACATACTCCTCACGGTCCTCCTTGACAAGGTCTTGGAGGCGTCTAGCCGTCTCGTTCGATCGAACTTCTTCGATATCTAGTGTCTGTGACACCTCGATGATTGATCCGCGGGTATGTCGCGGTATACCTTTCTTCTTGTAGTCGGAGAAGGCCGGAGGCTCCGGCTTCGGCATCCGCTTCTCGGGGTTTTCGGCGCCGGGATCCACTTGCTCCCAGACGTCCAAGTCGGTGGCTTTACCCTGGAAAACCTTATACCAGGTTGGCCATTGACTGGGGTTGTTGAGGACAATGGATTCCATCTTTGCTTATGTCGTTATTGATTCGGGCTTATCGCGTGGGTTTTGAGGGACGTAAACGGGGTGTTCGTGTGTTTTGCAGTTGATCGGATCTTCGAATAGCTTCGTTTTGCCTGTAGGTAGGCCAATTGGTAGGTAATCAGACTGTTAATTGTTCGAATATTCGTAGGCGCACATTCAGGGGTCAATCGTGATGTGTATTGTGCTTCTTCTTTTCCTAAGACCTGTCCGTATCCCTTACGCGCCTTCTTCCGGCGTGTTCCCTGTGACTAAGCGCACCTAGCGCGGTCCTCGGCCAAACATTCCTCCTAGCGCCTTCCTGGCATCCTAGGCGCTCTGCGTGTGCATCGCTTCCAGCGCCCCTGGCCTACCACCCTTTTTGACAATTAGGGCAGTTGGGGCAGTTAGGGCAATTAGGGCAGTTGGGGCAGTCAGGGCAGTCAGGGCAGTCAGGGCAGTTAGGGCAGTTAGGGAAGTTAGGGCAGTTAGGGCAGTTGGGGCAGTTAGGGCAATTAGGGCAGTTGGGGCAGTCAGGGAAGTTAGGGCAGTTAGGGCAGTCAGGGCAGTTAGGGCAGTCAGGGCAGTTAGGTATTAGGGTTAAGGGGGGAGGCGCTATAGCTATAGCGAGGTAAGTATTATAGAACACTATAATTATAAGTAGGGGATTACTACGGGTATAAGCCGGGAGTCAGACTTTAGCAGGGTTCTAGGGTTGACTTTTTATGGGTATACAGGCACGGGCTCCATACTTACCTAAAATTTCTAGCCACTCATATCTTATCGATAACACACCTTAGTGGAGACATTAGCCATATTAGGCAAGTTCTACCCCTCATACCGTATACCTACTAATTAATTGAAGTTTGACCCAGTGGTCCCTGCGGACTGCCGTAGTTATCCTCGTCCGAAAAAAAAAAAGGGTGAATTTTCGCTAAAAGTTTAGCCTATCAGCTGGGGCTTTCGACTGCGGCTGGACCTCACTTTTGCCAAGACCTCAAATCTCCATTGTAAGAGCCACTTTTACTCCGTACTAAGCTCGGCAGATAACAGTCTGTAGTCTCTCCTTGCACGTATTACTCTTAGTAGTCTAATGACGCATTATGTGTCCGGAAAGATCATCGGCACCTCTGGTATGCCTCAAATATTTATTAAGTAAGATGTAGCCCAGATTCGAGTAGATGAGTTTATAAAACTAGTAGACATTTGGCCTCTGAGTGGTTTTACTCCGCCCTTGGCAAAAATGAGGTTTAGACGCAGTCGATGGGATAGAAGTGAAGTTCAAGTATCACCAAGTCACAGTTTGACTTTATTAGTCAAGGAGCTATATTATAGTGCCGCCATCTTTTACATCACTGCAACTTTATAAACTCAGAGCATTTAAGGTTAGAAGCCCTAGAGCTTAACAGAACAGGAGCAGTGTACAGCAGGAGCTCAAGGGGGACTGGCAGATACTACACCTATATACCAGAAGCCGTCTTGCCTAAAAGCCTATCTTGATTATTTATGTCTACTACATATAGCTTCTCCGCAGTGTTGTGGATTTCTTGTCGATTTTACCTCCTTTGCGACTAGAACAGTGGAGCATTATTCGGCCAAAAAATGCTCTACAAACCGCGTGTCAGTTTACACTTTTTTGCTGTCATCTCCACAAGAGCTCCAATAATATAAATTGGGATAAGATCGTTTCGGTAATCCCGTTGGTTTAGGGAGTGATAGCGAATCTGGGAAACTGAAATTTATTACTTCATAGGAACCACTCGTATTACGGGGTTTTGTCGTAGGTTGGAGCAAATGTTTGCTGATAATTTCCTTATCCGGAATGTCTGTAGGTTTATCAGCAATATGTCGTTTTACCCCACGAATTGTCTTGATGATCTTATGGGGATAATGCATCTAAGATTAGCAAAGGTGTATGTAATTACAAAGAGAGAATGCTTCCTCCTCAAATGGCCTAATATTCTCACCTTATTGATTTCTTCTGCCACCTAACCGCTAAGCAAAACTTTTCACCTAACCTTACCAACGATACCCACTCGTCTCTACAAACGGGCCGAATTCCTTGGGGCAACCATGGCCGACTACCAAGTGAGCGAGAAGAGAGAGACTGATCCAGTCGACTCCGGCACCGACGGTGAAAACCATCACAAGAACGTCAACGAACCCGTCGCTGTTTTCACCAACGAGGATGGCGACGTCAACTTCCGCAGCCTCTCCTGGCCCGCGGCGGCCGTCCTCGTCGCGAAGTTTCAACTCGGTCTCGGAGTGCTGAGTTTGCCCAAGACGTTCCACACTCTGGGCTTCTTTCCGGGCATCCTCTGCTTCGTGATCCTCTCCATCATGACCACCGCCTCGGGCTACGTCTCCGGCAACGCCAGATTGTATTATCCGCAAATTTACAGTGTCGCTGACGTCGCTGAAATGATGTTCGGCAAGAAGACGCGCGAGTTCGTCGGCTTCTGCTTCTTCCTCTATCTCGCCCTGACTGCAGGTGCCGGCATGCTCGCTTCCTCGGTCGCCTTCAACGCGCTTTCAAACCACGGCGCCTGCACCGTAGCCTTTGTCGGTGTAGCTGCCGCCGCTGCATTCCTCATCGGCGGTGGTTTCCGCAGCCTGGATAAGATCGCCTGGGTCAGTTGGGCGGGTTTCGCCTGCATAGTTGTCGCTATTTGGACTACGGCCATCGCATGTCTCATCCAGGACAGACCTGCTGCTGCTCCCCAGACGGGCCCCATTGACCTCGACATCCGTGTTTTTTCCACGGCCACATTCGCGCACGCCATGTCAGCTGTCTCCAACCAGTTGTTCGCCGTCGGCGCTTCCGGCGTCTGTTTCTCTATCGCTGCCGAGATGAAGGAGCCCAAGGATTTTGGCAAGGCTCTCCTTTGGGGCCAGGGCATCGTCATCGCGACCTGTGTCGCCATCGGGTCCATCGTCTACGCCAAGGTCGGCCAGTACCTCGCAAGCCCCGCCCTCGGATCCGCTGGTCCCTTGATCAAGAAGGTTGCCTACGGCATCGGTCTGCCTGGTCTCCTTGTGACTGCTATCCTCTACAGCCACACTGCCGGCAAGTACTGGTTCGTGAGAATCCTCCGTGGCACACGCCATCTCCAGACCAGCACCGTCAAGCATTGGCTCGTTTGGAGCAGTTCCATGATGGGCACCGTTGTGTTCGGCTTTATCGTCGTCGGAGTTGTACCCTTCTTCAGCGACTTCCTCAGTCTTGTCGGCTCCCTCGTCAACCCGATCTTCACCCACATCATCCCTGGCTTTATGGTGCTGTACTATGTCGCTAAGAAGCCTACTATGGTTGGTGAGGAACCATCACACGAACCCCACTATTCTTTCGCGGAGAAGCACTGGATCAAAGAGGCTCACGACGCGGCTAAGACTAGCAAGAGGGATGCGATTGTGGTCGCCCTCTCGTGGATCATGATTGTCTTGGGTGCTTTCATCATCATTGGCGGCACGTATGCAACTGTTGTCACTATTAAGGAGGGCTATGACAACGGTTCGATTGGTAGTGTTTTCTCATGCGCCGACAACTCGTCAGGCTAAGAAACTCTAAAGGAAAGAAGTATAGACTAGATATTTAGCTCTTAGTTGACTAAGTCTTTTAGTTACAAAAATAATCATGACAAGCCATCCTTAGTTTACTGTTGCCATAGTTCCATTGGATAGTCACCAGGGGCACGTGAGATATCTTATGCTAACTGTACCCGCATAAGAGAGGCCTATGATAGCTTCTCAGTCAGGAGGTTCAGTTAAGAAGTGAACCAACTGCATACCTACATTGTTACACGCGGAATCGGGAAATTAGCGTTCGAGGGTCAGAGGTCGGGATCAGAGGCCGGGATCACAGGTCGGGATCAGAGGTCGGGATCAAAGGTCGGGATCGGATGTCGGGATGAGAGGTCGGGATCGGGGGTCGGGATCGGAGGTCGGGATCGGAGATCGGTAGTCAAAAGGAGGTACGATGGATAGGGGAAACACGGAGAGTACTAGTATGACACTGGAGGAACCAATGCCCAACCAAGGGCCAATTAGAGCTGTAATGCTACGACCCGTTCGTTATGCCTAACAGAGTGTTAACAGACTCACTAGCTAGCGGCTACGCCGCCAGATATGCAGGAAACACGGGAAACATTGGAATACTCTCGGAAGTGGAAGAACTATCATACAGGTCACGCAATGATAAGGAAGTAAGCACTGATAAGGAATCAGTGACCGCTCACGCCAAGAGAAGTAAGCGCTCACGTTAAGCAGGGTAAGTACTTACTAAAGCCCCCCAAGACTCTTGCTTAGGAACTTATATATAGATTAGAACTTAAGCTCTCTAAATAGAATAAATAAGTATAATAAAAGTATAATATACTTATACTTCTAATATAAAGTAATTAAGAGATTAAAAATAAACATAGTTACTATTATAACCTATACTTTCTAATCTATATTCTATATTATAAAAACTAAATATACCCTTATCAATTTATTATTATTTTCTTTATAGTAATTATTTATTTAATATTTATAATATATTATCTACTTTTATATTTTTACTATAGTTCTAATCTCTACTTATTATGGCTATATACTAGCTAAAATAGCTATAATAAATATATATTAAGCTTAATTATAATAATATTTATTTAGTAACTCGAACTTATATATCTAATAGTTATTAAAACTGATTTTTCATTAGAGAAAGATTAGTATTTTTAAAGAAACGTTTATTAATGGTTTATTAATAAGTATAATTTAGTACTTTATATTTTAATTCTTAAAAGACATACTAAGTATATTTTCTTTTCTAAAGATTAAGTAAGTATATATAACGTACATGATAAGCGAGTGAGACAGACAAGCGAGTGAGACAGTAAACCGCGACCGTCGCACCTTGACGCGACCGGCACCTTTTCCTCTACAATAAATCATGGAATCAGCTAGTATTGAAAGAAGGTTACAAATTGCCCTTCAAGCAATGAGAAATGACCCAAAACTTAGTGCTCGGGCCGCAGGTGCACTCTATACAGTCAGTCACGCAACATTAAGCCGGCGACTAAAGGGAATAGTCTCACGACGCGACAGCATGCCTAATTCACGGAATTTATCAGATTTAGAAGAGAAGACAATAGTTGAGTATATTCTCGACCTAGATGCGCGATCATTTCCTCCCCGGCTGAGTGGTGTGGAAGAAATGGCCAATCGACTTCTCGCAGAGCGCGACGCGCCTCCAGTTGGGAAGCGCTGGGCTTCTAATTTCGTCAAGCGACAACCACAGCTTAGGACGCGTTTCTTTCGCAAGTATGACTATAAGAGAGCTCAATGCGAAGATCCAGAGGTGATTCGTGGCTGGTTTTCGCTTGTGAAGAATACAATTGCGAAGTATGGTATTGCTGATGCTGATATCTACAACTTTGATGAGACCGGCTTTATGATGGGCGTTATTGCTTCTGGAATGGTTGTTACAAGTGCTGAAAGGCGTTCAAATACGAAGATGACACAGCCTGGCAATAGGGAATGGGTTACAGTTATCCAGGCTATTAATTCCCAAGGGGAGAGCATCCCGCCATACATCATCGTTGCAGGCCAGTATCACCTCTCAAGCTGGTATACAGAAACCTCTCTTCCGGGCGATTGGGCTATTGCAACGTCTGAAAATGGATGGACAACAAACGAGAGAGGTATTGACTGGATCAGACACTTCGACATTTATACAAAACCACGTACGTCTGGGAAATATCGCCTCCTCGTTGTTGATGGTCATGAAAGTCACCACTCCGCAGCCTTCGAGCTCTTTTGTCAAGAAAACAACATTATTACACTGTGCATGCCGGCTCACTCGTCTCATCTACTTCAACCCTTAGATGTTGGTTGTTTTCAGCCGTTAAAGAATGCCTACGGTCGGCAAATTGAGAATAAGATGCGGCGAGGCACAACCCATATCTCGAAGGAAGATTTCTTTGCAGCATTTCACGAAGCTTTTAAGCAGTCTTTTACGAGGAAAAATATCCAGGGAGGTTTCCGAGGAGCTGGACTTGTCCCTTTGAATGCAGAAAGTGTTCTCTCAAAGCTGGATGTAAAGTTCCGAACGCCAACGCCTGAGGAGGGGGTCCCTCAGACACCAGACCCTTGGATCTCTAGGACGCCGAGCAACCCAAGCGAAGCAAGATCACAGTCTACTTTTATTAAGAGTCGAATCTCACGCCACCGAAGCAGCTCTCCAGCATCAATTTATAGTGCTGTGAGTAAGCTAGCCAGAGGGACAGAAGGACTAGGGCATCGGGTAGCATTACTAGAGTCAGAGGTTCAAATCCTTCGAGAGGAGAATGCAATATTAAGTCGGCGTCGAAGGGCTAAGAAAACACGTCTACAGAAAGGAGGAAGTCTTACTATATCTACTGGAGAGGATATACAGTCGCAAAGAGAGGCAGACACGCAACTACAAGAGGAAACGCGACGGAGTAGTGGTCGCAAAGTGAGGTCTGAGACGACTCATCGTCGGTGTGGCGTATGCGGGAATACAGGCCACAACGCGAGAACATGTCAATTTATTGAGGAAACATCCGAAGAACAGGAATCCGAGTAGTATTAATCAATCTAAGATTTCTTGTTATAGATTTCGATATTATTGTCGCGAAGGTCTGGTTTACTGTCTCACTCGCTTGTCTGTCTCACTCGCTTATCATGTACGTTACTATTATTTACATATATTTAATAACTTTAGTAACTTTAAAGAAAAGGCAAAGAATTAGGAAGTAGTAATAGTATAAGTAGTAGTCATAATACTATTGCTGCGGTTTCATCGTTATTAGAGTGGATTCGTCCACGCCGGAAGCCCATTCCATTTCGTTTCAAAGTCTTCAATAGACTTTATGAAAGCCCGATGTTGCTTTTTCTCCTCCGCATCCGCCGGCGTATCATTCGGATCAGCCTCCCACTTGTCCTTCTCTGCCTGCGTGACCCACGCAGCTTTCATCTTAGGAAGGAAATTATTAACGAGGCCGTTGGTCTTGGACTGCATGGTGGTGTACTGGCCCTTCATGTAACTGAGCCACTCGGACTTGAGGTTCTGTTTCGACCATTGCTGGTACCCAGCGCGCCGATTGGCGGGCAGCAAGGTCGAGTCTAGGGCGTCGAGCACCTTTCCGATCCGATCCGTCTGAGTCTTCATTGTTGACTTAATTGTTGAGTGGCTCTGGTAGATACGGGAGCCCATGGTGCTGCGCATCTTTTGGAGAATCACCCTTGCCTTTGCGTAGTCGGCAAGGTCTTTGGCCCAGGAGCCCGTGTCCCAGGGGTTTGAGGATCGCCAGGCGCTTGTCTTTGAAGGTGTGTTAATTGCGGACTCGAGAGCGACAAATTCGTGTTTCTTGAACGTCTTTGTCGGATACTGTGCCGCAATGTGCATAATGGGGTTCCAAGCCTTGCCGATGCCGCCAGTCGTATCCTCGCCGGGCCACACGAAAGCGGGCACATCCCACAGCTCGTCGACATAATCACAGAAGGAGACTGTGGCTCCCTGGGGGGCATTTGGCTTTGGATCAGGAAGCTTAGACTTCTTCTTGTCAAGGTACTGGAAGAATAGGTCGATCATCTGGGCCTCGAGAACGTGCTCGGTGTGATACTGGATGTTGGCGGCGCGTGCGGGCAGGGGGTCGCCAAAGTTAAAGTTGCCGCAGTCGTGGGGATTGACCCAGCCCCAGTCATCGCCATTCAGCTGACCGCCCGGGGGGAAGTCATCCGATATGTCGCAGTCCCGATTGCAGGCCTTGATCAGCTTGTCCTTGGCTCTCTTGTCAAACATGTGCAATATCTCGCCTCCTGAGTGGTTGTTATGGCCATGACTTCGCTGCTGATGAGCATGGAAATGTGCGGCAATGGCATTTTCGTCAATGGTGGACGTCGGCGCCAGCTTCTCCCGCTTGTGCTTGGTCGCTACTCTCCAGCCATCGCCCTCGTTTCCCGCTCCCAGGGCATTGTATGCTTGCTCGCACGTCATGCCTACTTCACCGTCTCGAGAAGGGCAGAAGAACTCGCCGGCGGGGAGGCTGAATGCTGGGCCGTATACAGCACCTCTCTTGCTCAGGGATGACATATGCCCGCCGGAAATTTGCCTTGTGCGCAGGCCAGCATCGTAACTGTTCATTGATTCCACATGGACCGCTCTGTAGACACCGGCCTCGGGTGCTTCCAACCTCGACATGTTTCTGGTCACGGCCTTGCCTTCTGCACGGCCCTCTATGAGGAGGTGGTCGATACCTCGGAGACTTCTCTTGGAAGGTATCGGGCCCAGGTCGGGACAAGTGCCGCCCTTAATGATGGTCTTCTCCCATTTGTCCGTTAGGTCGACCTCACCACCAGCCCAGCCAAACACCTTGGGCGCCGTTGCTCTCGCGAACAAACGAGCGCCGACATCAAGGCCGTAGGTAAAGGGGCATGTTCCCGTGGTCGAGATGCCCGCTGCGAATTTGGTCGTTAGGCTGACCTCGCCCACGACTGCGGCGGCCGCCGGGTCAATCTCCCACTTATCGACGAAGCGAACGCCAAACTCGGCA